TCACCTGCAGCATTTCATCTTTTCCTCCATTTCTAATCTTAATAATCATTTCTTTATTAATAGTCACAATATAGCTATTTTTTATTTGATCTTTGTTATTATAAATAAGAATAGATGCAAAAACGAGAACAAATATAAAGAATAACTAGTGCATTACCTTTTTCATTTTGCATCTAAACAAAAAGCATTCAAGACAAACAAAATAATCAAATGTAAAAATCCCTTTAGTGTGTTTGTTACAAATAAATGTATTAGTAAAACTACAAAAGCAGTTCAATCAAGAGCATGCGAGTGATTCTTTTATTGTTAGATTAACATTAATGAGGCAGCCTATATTAAGACCTACTGTAATGCACGGATCTAATGTATATAATAATAATATCTATATATAATAATAATATATATAGTCTTAAGTAGCTGGGGTATATTTGTAGCAATAGCCAAAAAATATATTGTATGGGTCAAAATGTATTTTTCTTTTATGCCAAAAATCATTAGGATATTAAGTAAAGATCATGTTCCATGAAGATATTTTGTTAATTTGCTACTGTAAATATATTAAAACTAAATTTTTGATTAGTAATATGCATTCCTAAGAATTCATTTGGACAACTTTAAAGGCGATTTTCTCAATATTTCGATTTTTTTGCACCCTCAGATTCCAGATTTTCAAATAGTTGTATCTCGACCAAATATTGTCCTGTCCTAACAAACCATACATCAGTGGAAAGCTTATTATTCAGCGTTCAGATGTTGTATACATTTCGAAAAATTGTGGTCTTGTGGTCCAGGGTCACATATAATGTTACACATCATATGTTTTCCCCCAACAGTTCCCCGAACGTTCACTGAAGACATAACAGATTATGTTTGCGTGAATACTTAAATACTGTAATTCTGTGTATATGTATATTAAACATCTAAAATTATTATTTGGAGCATTGGGATAGCTAGACGAGGGCTTAATGATCTCATTTTTGTGAAAACCTCAAAATCGACTAATCAACATTTTTCACTTTTTTTGCCTGTAGTTCAAAATTAGCCCCTGCAAATTCCGACTCATTTTGCCAGCACGGGTCACTTATACAAGTATGACATGTTGGGGAAAAAATGCATAAATTTAAACATGAGACTAAACCGCCAGTAGGTGGCAGTAAATCACTTATTCCTTCAAAACGCCGAATCATTCAGGAACAAAAACGCAGAGTGTTGCTTTGAGGATGTGCAGTACTGTTCTGATCTTTGTTTGGAACTATTTTCGTGGGTGAAATAGAACAAAACAGTCAATATTGAGTCTAAATTGTAATACTTCTTGTTTGTAGAACGAAAATGTAACATTTGCAACCGTGAAAATATTAAGGACAATAGCTCCATTGTCATGTTATGTTACTTAACTACATCATGATATAAATAAACTAAACATTTTGAATTTTTACGTCAGTAGGCTATGTTTGTTCCGTGAGTCTTTATGTGTGCCGTTACGCTCATTTGATTAGATTTCGCCATGAAAGTCTCTCACAGACACAGGCAGCACGAGCCTCAACAGCACCTCATTGGTTTCGATGCGTCACTAGTTATTTTTTGTCACTTAAGTTTTAATCAGGCTATTTTTCGTACTAAACAAACAATCAAGCAACAAAACAAAGCAATATATATAAGTCCTCTGAGCTCATTTTTGCTAGAATTCATAACTGTCGCATGATGTCACCTTTTGTATGAAACAAAACAGAGTCCTCTAGTGCGTGAAATTCCGTTAAAAGGGCAGATTGCTTTACGTTCCACAGTCAACTGTAGGGGGCTCCAAACTCGAAAAACACACAAAACTACATACAGTTGCTTTAAATGTGTACAGTTTACGTTAGAGCAGTTATTATGGTGTTTAGCAAATCTGTCCTGTATAGAAATAATTCTATTGCTGTCTTGAATGATGCATGATAAATTATGCATTTTGTACTCTTCCATCTAGTGTACGGATTTTAGAAGGCTCTGCTAAGGAAAGATGTGACAGCTGAAAGCATTAAGCATCCAAAATTCTACACGTTCAGGCTTTTATTTCTTTAGTTAGTTAAACAAGTGTGTATTTGAAGTGCATTTTTATTCATGAAATGTTCAGTGTGAGCAAACTACTCACTGTATTTATACTACACAATGGCATAGAATAGTGCTTAAGTACACAAACTGAGACACACCTGTTTTCGACATTACATTTGACAATACCCAGTTAAAATGTGGGAAGGTCATAATTACGAAGCAGTAACTCTAGAATCGGTGTGATTTGGCAAATAAACCAACACCACGTATGTAGAAAGAAATGAAGCTTAGCACTAGATATCTCTCTAGATATGCAGAGCAAGTCTCTTTACAGGTACAAAGGTCAAAGATAATTCTGCTTGCTTTTTTAAAGTTGAGATTATTGATTTTTTTTTTTAGGAATGGTAACTTTTTATTATTGTGCTCAATAGTTTATATTTTTTTTAGTGCTGTCAAACGCATCCACAATAAATGTTTTTGTTTATATATGTGTGTGTACTGTGTATATTTATTATGTGTATATATAAATACACAAACATACATGTATATATTTTAAAAATATTTACATTTATATTATATATAATATAAATATTTTATAAATAAAACATATTTTTCTAAAATATATACATGCATGTGTGTGATTTTTATATATACATAATAAATAAACAGTGCGCACGCATATGTTCTGTAAACAAAAACTTTTATTTTGGATGTGATTAATGGCTTGACAGCACAATTTTTTTTATATATTGTTAACATCTTAAAAATAAAAACACACATTCCCATAAACCTCATGTATGTATTTACAACCTAAATGAGGAGAGCACTTTTTTCCTGCCTCAATACACCGTCTGTTGCTGTCTGCACATCCAGACACTTCCACTTTGCCTGATCATCAACATTATTACATGTGCAGCTGACCAAGTATTATGTTGACTTTAAAGATGATATCTGCAAGAAGACACTGTAATATCAGTGGTGATTATCGCTCAGTAGCTTTTTTAAAGTTGAGATTATTGATTTTTTTTTTTAGGAATGGTAACTTTTTATTATTGTGCTCAATAGTTTATATTTTTTTTAGCGCTGTCAAACGCATCCACAATAAATGTTTTTGTTTATATATGTGTGTGTACTGTGTATATATAAATACACAAACATACATGTATATATTTTAAAAATATTTACATTTATATTATATATAATATAAATATTTTATAAATAAAACATATTTTTCTAAAATATATACATGCATGTGTGTGATTTTTATATATACATAATAAATAAACAGTGCGCACGCATATGTTCTGTAAACAAAAACTTTTATTTTGGATGTGATTAATGGCTTGACAGCACTATTTTTTTTATATATTGTTAACATCTTAAAAATAAAAACACACATTCCCATAAACCTCATGTATGTATTTACAACCTAAATGAGGAGAGCACTTTTTTCCTGCCTCAATACACCGTCTGTTGCTGTCTGCACATCCAGACACTTCCACTTTGCCTGATCATCAACATTATTACATGTGCAGCTGACCAAGTATTATGTTGACTTTAAAGATGATATCTGCAAGAAGACACTGTAATATCAGTGGTGATTATCGCTCAGTTAGATGCATTGTGTCTGTTCATCCTAACAGAAAATCTGAATAAGAAAACATATCTGTTTTATGGTCTTAGAATTGCCAGCAGTTAAATGCTGCAATTACCACGTCATGTATTGATACAGTTTTGTGATGCACTTGTGTGTTCATAAACCAATTTTAAATGACTAGAAGGTTGTTGTAGAAATCACATGATAGTGGGTTTACAAGTTGCAGTGACTCAAGCACATTTTCAGGCTCTGTGATCCTGACTTTCTGCCTTTGATCACTCATTAATCAGATTTTACACAGAGAGCAATTATAAATTTAAGTTAATATTTAGGGATTACCATTAATCGACCCACTATTGCAGAAGCAGATGAAAGACAGTTTTACTCATGACTCAAGCAGTTTTGCCTTTGAGTAAAATGAATTCACATAACCTCTCACATCTAACTTCAGACTTCCCCAGTGCAATTCTTAGTTCATCAATATAGAAAAAGCAGTTTAGCGCTAGTGGACAAAAAGGTTTTTCATAGGTTATTGTTCTGCCAAGACCATGAAACTAGATTTTAATTTAATCTGTGCTCAAAGAAATAAAAGCTGTAAAAAGTAATTTTATCATTTATTTTCTTTTAAGTACAAACAATTTTCATAAATATTTCCCTTGGGACCTGTAACCAAATGAGCAAATAATTGCTTTTAATTTTAAAAAATATGCAGGTAAACACCCATTTACATAAATACAGACATTTACATTTTTTCTGTGCTGTGCTGCCATTTTATTCATTATTTGTACAGTTTATTCAGTTAATGTATGATAGCTGCGAATCAAAGTGTCAAATGTCATTTATAAAACACTTTGTTTTTGTAACTGAAAAAAAGTAGAATCGGACATAAAAAAAAACAACAACACACAATCACCTAAAATCATACTTTAGGGGAGTTTTCATTGCACATGACATGATTGCCAACAAAAGCATTTTTTTCTATTATGATATTTATGAAATGTACAGGAAAAAGAGACATATCTCAATAAATATAAAAATATTACAGTGTATAGCTGGCTACAATAACCCACCTGACATCACATGTGGTATTTTTGCAGTGGTACAGTGATATGCATATGTAAACATTTGTCTTTTTCCAAAAGGTAAGCCGTTTTTCTCTTTAGGGACTTATTTGAATAGTGCTTGTAAAAATGAATCATTAATAAATAGTTAAATAAAGATATCAACAGCTGTATGAATCTGGCCTGTCTCTTGATGCTGTTAAGTTCATAATTTCATTGTGCTCCACAACTGTAACCTTGTTAAGGCCTTAAATAGGTCTTGAGAAAACACAATGTTTCACAACGCACAGCGTTGTTTTAATGCTCTTTCCCCCCCCTAGGTAGTACTCTTCTTATTAGACTAGGAGTAGTAGCGTTTTTACAAACTCTGAGAATGTAATAAATGTGTCCGCTTAACTTATTCTTCCATTACAAATTGCACAGAGTGGCTAATCATGGTCTGTTCACTACCTTTTGCCAATCTCATTTTGTCTGAGGAACTGAATGTTGTTGACGCTGTCGGCTAGCTCAGGATACTGCTCTACCGACAACACATAGTATCCATCGTAGCCTTGCACTCGTCCAGTGCTGAGAAGCTGCCTCTTCTCTCCCTCAGTCCACAGGCGGGATCCTTCCTCTCCGTTTCGCACCCGCTGCTGCTCCTGTGCCCACGAGATGGCGAGAGCCCTCTGTCGGGCCAGCTCTGAAACACGCACTCGTTCCTCATCCAGAGACGCCCCGTAGCGCACGTGCAGGGTGAGAGCCCCCCTCTGAAACTCCACATCTGCGAAGCGCCGGGTGCGGCCACCTAGCACAGCTGTGGACTGCGACACCGTCACGTTCACCGCGTTCTCAAGTTCTTTCCGTCCGCTAGTAAGCCGCAGCGCTGCTAGGTCCGCTTCAGGAGAATTCATTTTAACAAAGAAGTGCGTGTCACTGCCATCTATGATAAAGTGCAAGTCTTTCAAATAAAGTGCGCCATTGAGGATGTTGGCAACCTTGACGCAATCCTCATTAGCCAGGCTTAGTGCGCGGGTTATCACGATGCCCTTGTAAAGAGCCAGCATGATCCCGCGACCTATCAATGAATCGCTTGAGGCAAACCACAGCCAGGGTTTATCAGCCCTTTGGCTATGACCGAACTCAACCTGTGGCAGATCCCCAAATGTTAGAAATGCTTCAGCTTGTCGGATGACGTGCTGCTGGACTGCAAAGCTGGCCTACAAAAGAAAATAATAAACATTTTATAGAAACATGTGGCTATAGTTCCATTCCATGTGGTGAAAAAAATTCTTCAAAGGGATACTACAAGATCTGAAAAATAAGAGATAATACAATTTTTAATTTACATTTATTTTTTGAAAAAAGTATAAAAACAGCTTTTATTATTTTATTATAAATTATTATTATTGTAAAAATCTTGATACTATTATTTGAAGATGTAATGATACAAAAAACTTACTGCCAGGTTAATATAATATAATATAATATATCCAAAACAAATTCCTAATTCTATTCTAGTATTCTCACTCTGTTTGTATTATTATACTCTGTTTTTATAATTATTTTGCATTAGTTTTTATTTTTATTTGAAATATTTAATATAAAGTTTTAGTATTTTTGTCATAGGTTTTTTATGTCTATATAGGTTTTATTATTTTTTATTTAGGTTTTTTATTTATTTTAGTACATCAAGTTAAACTAAACGAAAATGAGAAATGTTGCCTTGGAAACTAGCTGAAATAAAATATATTTATATTTTTTAATTTATTGTATTTCAGTTAACGTTACTTTTATTTAAAGTAATGAAATAATAAAAAGTAATAATTGTTTTAATGGTTTTAGATTTAGTTAACTATAATAACCCTTTATACTAGTACGTGAAGATATTCATCCAAAATAAACTTACTGTCAGGTCGTCCCACACTTGACTTTTGGCCAGTTCATAAGAGGCTTGTGTCATCTCAGAAATGGGGATAGGGAAACCAGGGATACTATTATGGAGATGGAATCCAAATGTGACCAGCCAGCTGTTCACATCTGTAGCAAATATCAATGAATAAATTAGAATTTGCGATTGGGGAAATGTGCAATGTATAGCAGATATATTACTTGCTGTGAATTCATCCCATACCTGTTAAGTAGTCTCTAACTTTCTGCACTTTACTTATTGGGTTGTTGTTTCGGAACATGTAGAGATTGAAAGGGCCTGGGTTCTTGCTGATTTTCTCCCACTGCATGAAGTCAGGTGCAGTCCAGCGACCCGACATGATGTCATAATCCCTCACTCCAAAATGAAGCAGTTTTGTTAGAGGGTCATAAAGTCCTCCATGAAACCCAATCACCAACTGGATGTCAGGATTGGAGTCCGAGCAGACCTCGCCGTAGGCTGTATAATGAACCTGCTTGAGGAGGGTGCCATCACTGGCAAAGATAGCCAGTGGTGTTCCTATGTTATCACAGGCTATGTAGAACTCTGCTCCACTGCTGATCTCCATTGCAAACAAGTGTCCCTGCAGGTCATAGTATAGAGAGGTAATCTGTGAGCTGGAATGGTTGTAGACATGCGTTATCCTGCTTGGGTAGCTCAGGTCAGCATAGAAGAACTGCAGATGTTGTCCCATGCTGGACTTTGCTGAGACTCTTCTTCCCAAACCATCGTAACGGTACTGGACGGACCAGCTGCTGGATTTACTGTAGACATGTTCTAGGTGGCCATTGGAATTGTATTGGAAGATCTCAGAGCCTCTCTGGCGAAGAAACCCATCTTCGTCCAACTCGTACTGCAGATCTCCAAGACGAGTTATACGGTCTCGTAGGTCATAACGGAGGGGCATGATTCGTGCACTGTTTGCTGGACTCAGCAGGTGTATGTTCCCGTTTAAGTCATAGCTGTAGCGCCATGTCATTTTCTCATTGAGGTAGACGGTCTGCAACTGTCCGTCCACATCATATTCATAGCTATACTTGGTGGCATTGGCGAACGGGCCAATCTTCATCTCCCGCTTGGTGACTCGGCCCATATCGTCATACTGGACCGTGATCCAGAAGAGCAGAGAACGGAAGAGCTCATACTGAATCTCTCGAACCCGACCGTGCCCGTCAAGGTGTTTGGTGTAAGTCATGATAGAGGTAGAGATAATCTGGTTGATGTCATAATAGATGACGCCAAATTTGCCGAACTGCTCCACCTTCCCTGAGATGTCATCATACTGATAAAGGTCAATAGGCAGCGGGGTTTCATTGATGACCCCCTGAATACTCGTTACACGCAGACTACTGTCGTAAGCGTAGTCGAAGCGAGCGTTTACCATCCCGTCCTCGCTGAAGCGGTAGATCTGCCGGTCTACCAGTGGGCCGAGCTGCCTGTATCTAATGGTGCATATAAAACCCTCACTCTGCAGATTGACCGTCTTCAGCACACCTGCCGTCTCGTCGTAGGTGAAGCTGACACGAGTGCTGTCGTACAGAACCTCCGAGAGTTTGTTGTGCCAGCGGTACCGGTAAAGGACTCTCCGTCCCGTGCCCAGCTGTGCCACTCTCAGGAGCCTCCCATCCTCACTGTAGTCTACAGCGACAGAAGCATTGCTCTCAGGCATATGGTAAAGGTTGCGGTAGTAAGACACCGAGCGTATGGTCTCCATAGAGTATCGTGCCACACTAGGCATAGTGACAGCAGAAAGGCCTCCCTGAGAGTCACATTCAAAGACATACTGCCGCTGACTCGCCAGGATCAGGACAGTGGACTAGAACGAGAAGAAAACAACTTGCATAAAACAGGGGGAATTAAAATCAACTAACTTTGTCAATTGTCACACTAGTTGGTTAATCTTATTAGGATACAAAAGTTTTTGCTATATAAAAGGCATAGTTCACCCAAAAATGTAAATTCTTCACCATTTACTGGCCCTCATTTCATTTGTTGACAAACATCTTTTTTCTTTCCTTCTGTAGTGCTCCATGGAAGAAAAAAAATCATGTGTAGGGTGTATAAATGATGACAGAATCTTTGGATTTTTTAGGGTATATTTAGTTCAAAAGTTTGGGTTCAGTAAGATTTTATTTATTTTAAACAATGCATTGAGCAAAAGTGATTTTATTATAGTGATTTTAAAAGTGATTAAAACTATTGATGTCTACAGTATATCGCATACATCACTAAAAGCAATTTCCACTGGCCTGTACCTTCTCTAGATAAGTGTAGCTCCAGGTCTTCCCATCAGGAAATGTTCTGGAAAGCAGGCGGCCTTGTCCATCATACTCCGCCATCTCTGAGACAGAGCCCCAGTGTATGGCACTCAACTGCCCATTGCTATTGCGAGTGAGGTTGACGGGCAGCAGCTTGCTACTTGGCATCCAGAGAGTGGGCTGACCTGCTGTGTCATAACCAATCTTCAGAAGGAATTTACGGTGATCATCATAGATCTTTTCAATCCTCAGCGCTCGGTCATAATCAACAGACAAAATGTTCCGTCCATTTACCTTGAAGTGCAGGCAGAGGAGAGACACAAAATTGGTATGGCAACAGTAAAATGGCAGGCTAGAAATAGGCTAGAAAATTGTCAGACTTTTTCATCTGTTAAGAGTTGCTTTGGTTTCCGTCAGAAAGTTTGACTTGAAACTTGAGTCTCATAATTAGTAGCTCAACTTTATAAAACTAAGTGGTTTAGTGGCACGCTCAAACTATTAAATCATCTTCCAATGTAGGCTACTTCAATTTTAGAATAGATTTTCTCTGTAAAACTGTAATTCTTTTTTTCTACTCCTAGATTAGCCGGGTGGCATCTTCATGACAAATTTACTTAGTAGATTTAATTTGTAAGAATTCACATCTACTGTAAATAAAAAATTATAGCAAGAAAGCTTGCATGATTTTTAAATTGCCTATAATGCCAGGTGCCATTTTTATGCCAAATTTAATTTGCAAGAATGCACATCTACACAAAAAGTATAGCAAGAAATCTTGACTGATTTTTAAATTGCCTATAATGACTGAGGTCAGTTGAACCTGAAGACAGATGTTACGTGCTTTGTGTTACAATATGGCTAATACATTTAAGAACAAAATTGTTCTGTGGTTTCTTTCAACAAGCAGTATATTCAATCTCAGGCTTTAAAACATTTGACAAACCATTGTCCTCTATAAATGGACTTCATTACGTACTCGTAACTTGCGTCCAAACACTGTGACCTTCGTCCTCGTCTGCTCTTTACGAAAGCGCCATTCAACCAAGTTTTGCCCGCTGTCATCGGGTAGGGTCATGTTTCTTCGTGCCAGCGTAGGGGTGGATGCACCAGCCAGAATGTGTGGTTCCGTCTGGTAGTGAGTGTTCATTCCATTGGCATACAGAATCCACAAGGAATGGTCATAACCAATCACATAGTTGTTCTTCAGCTGATCTGCAAAATAAAAAAGACAACATAAAATACAACTGCAAGCAGCAATTAAGGGGCCAAGCACAACATAGTCAAAATGAGGAACTAAGCATGGCATGGAGCATCAGTCCAAATGCAACAATGAGTAATTAAAGCTTTTAGGATGATTTAAATATAAATACACAAACATACATGTATATATTTTAAAAATATTTACATTTATATTATATATAATATAAATATTTTATAAATAAAACATATTTTTCTAAAATATATACATGCATGTGTGTGATTTTTATATATACATAATAAATAAACAGTGCGCACGCATATGTTCTGTAAACAAAAACTTTTATTTTGGATGTGATTAATGGCTTGACAGCACAATTTTTTTTATATATTGTTAACATCTTAAAAATAAAAACACACATTCCCATAAACCTCATGTATGTATTTACAACCTAAATGAGGAGAGCACTTTTTTCCTGCCTCAATACACCGTCTGTTGCTGTCTGCACATCCAGACACTTCCACTTTGCCTGATCATCAACATTATTACATGTGCAGCTGACCAAGTATTATGTTGACTTGAATGATATCTGCAAGAAGACACTCCCTGTGATATTAGGGAGTGGTGATCATTGTCTGTTAGGATGCACAGTGCATCTAATGAGCAGTCTGAATAAGAAAACATATTTGTTTTATGATCTCAGAATTACCTGCAGTTAAATGCTGCAATTACCACATCATGTATCGATATGGTTTTGTGATGTACCCATGTGTTCATAAACCACTTTTAAAGAGTCTAAGCTAGAATGTTGTTGTAGAAATCACATGGTAGTGGTTTACAGGTTTCAGGGACTCAACAAGCAAATTTTCAGGCTCTGTGAGCCCGACTTTTCTGCCTTTGATCACTCGTTAATTCGATTTTACACAGAGCAATTATAAATTTAAGTTAATATTTAGGGATTACCATTAATCAACCCACTATTGCCAAAGCAGATGAAAGTGAGTTTTACTCGTGACTCATGCAGTTTTGCCTTTGATTAAAATGAATTCACATAACCTCTCACATCTATCATCAGACTGCCACAGTGCCATTCTTAATTCATCAATATATATATATATATATATATATATATATATATAGAAACAGCAGTTTAGCGCTAGTGGACAAAAAGGTTTTGCTGTTGTATTGCCAAGACCATGAAACTAGGCCACAGTGTATCATGTTCTTAGTGAACCTGATTTTAATTTGATCTGTGCTCAAAGCAATACAATCTATAAAAAGAAAAAGGCAATTTTATCATTTATTTCCCTTGGGACCTGTAACCAAATGAGCAAATAATTGCTTTTAATTTAAAAAATATGCAGGTAAACACACATTTACATAAATACAGACATTTACATATTTTCTGTGCTGTGCACAGAAAATATGAATGAAAAAAAAACATTTTATTCATTATATGTACAGTTTATTCAGTCAATGTATGACGTAAAATGGCTGTAAATCAAAGTGTCAAATGTCATTTATAAAACACTGTTTTTGTAACTAAAAGTAGAATCAGACCTAAATAAAAAAAATAACACAATCACCTAAAATCACATTTTAGGGGAGTTTTCATTGCACAACATGATTGCCAACAAATCATTTTTTTCCCCTCTATTATGATATTCATGAAATGTACAGGAAAAAGAGACAAATCTGAATAAATATAAAAATATTACAGTGTATAGCTGGCTACAATAAACCACCTGACATCACGTGGTATTTTTGCAGTGGTACAGTGATATGTATATGTAAACATTTTTCATTTTCCAAAAGGTATGCCATTTTTCTCTTTAGGGACATATTTGAATAGTGCTTGTAAAAATGAATAATAAATAGTTAAAGATATCAACAGCTTTATGAATCTGGCCTGTCTCTTGATGCTGTTAAGTTCATAAATTCATTGTGCTCCACAATTGTAATCTTGTTAAGGCCTTAAATAGGTCTTGAGAATACACAATGTTTCACAACGCACAGCGTTGTTTTAATGCTCTTTTTCCCCCTAGGTAGTACTCTTCTTATTAGACTGAGAGTAGTAGCGTTTTTACAAACTGAGAATGTAATAAACGTGTCCGCTAAACTTTTTCTTCAATTACAAATTGCACAGAGTGGCTAATCATGGTCTGTTCACTACCTTTTGCCAATCTCATTTTGTCTGAGGAACTGAATGTTGCTAACGCTGTCGGCTAGCTCAGGATACTGCTCTACCGACAACACATAGTATCCATCGTAGCCTTGCACTCGTCCGCTGCTGAGAAGCTGCCTCCTCTCTCCCTCAGTCCATAGGCGGGATCCTTCCTCTCCGTTTCGGACCCGCTGCTGCTCCTGTGCCCACGAGATGGCGAGAGCCCTCTGTCGGGCCAGCTCTAAAACACGCACTCGTTCCTCATCCAGAGATGCCCCGTAGCGCACGTGCAGGTTGAGAGCCCCCCTCTGAAACTCCACATCTGCGAAGCGCCGGGTGCGGCCACCTAGCACAGCTGTGGACTGCGACACCGTCACGTTCACCGCGTTCTCAAGTTCTTTCTGTCCGCTAGTAAGCCGCAGCGCTGCCAGGTCTGCTTCAGGAGAATTTATTTTAACAAAGAAGTGCGTGTCTCTGCCATCCACAATAAAGTGCAAGTCTTTCAAGTAAAGTGCGCCATTGAGGATGTTGGCAACCTTGACGCAATCCTCATTAGCCAGGCTTAGTGCGCGAGTTATCACGATACCTTTGTAAAGGGCCAGCATGATCCCGCGACCTATCAATGAATCGCTTGAGGCAAACCACAGCCAGGGTTTATCAGTCCTTTGGCTATGGCCGAACTCAACCTGTGGCAGATCCCCAAATGTTAGAAATGCTTCAGCTTGTCGGATGACGTGCTGCTGGACTGCAAAGCTGGCCTACAAAAGAAAATAATAAACATTTTATAGAAACATGTGGCTATAGTTCCATTCCATGTGGTGAAAAAAATTCTTCAAAGGGATACTACAAGATCTGAAAAATAAGAGATAATACAATTTTTAATTTACATTTATTTTTTGAAAAAAGTATAAAAACAGCTTTTATTATTTTATTATAAATTATTATTATTGTAAAAATCTTGATACTATTATTTGAAGATGTAATGATACAAAAAACTTACTGCCAGGTTAATATAATATAATATAATATATCCAAAACAAATTCCTAATTCTATTCTAGTATTCTCACTCTGTTTGTATTATTATACTCTGTTTTTATAATTATTTTGCATTAGTTTTTATTTTTATTTGAAATATTTAATATAAAGTTTTAGTATTTTTGTCATAGGTTTTTTATGTCTATATAGGTTTTATTATTTTTTATTTAGGTTTTTTATTTATTTTAGTACATCAAGTTAAACTAAACGAAAATGAGAAATGTTGCCTTGGAAACTAGCTGAAATAAAATATATTTATATTTTTTAATTTATTGTATTTCAGTTAACGTTACTTTTATTTAAAGTAATGAAATAATAAAAAGTAATAATTGTTTTAATGGTTTTAGATTTAGTTAACTATAATAACCCTTTATACTAGTACGTGAAGATATTCATCCAAAATAAACTTACTGTCAGGTCGTCCCACACTTGACTTTTGGCCAGTTCATAAGAGGCTTGTGTCATCTCAGAAATGGGGATAGGGAAACCAGGGATACTATTATGGAGATGGAATCCAAATGTGACCAGCCAGCTGTTCACATCTGTAGCAAATATCAATGAATAAATTAGAATTTGCGATTGGGGAAATGTGCAATGTATAGCAGATATATTACTTGCTGTGAATTCATCCCATACCTGTTAAGTAGTCTCTAACTTTCTGCACTTTACTTATTGGGTTGTTGTTTCGGAACATGTAGAGATTGAAAGGGCCTGGGTTCTTGCTGATTTTCTCCCACTGCATGAAGTCAGGTGCAGTCCAGCGACCCGACATGATGTCATAATCCCTCACTCCAAAATGAAGCAGTTTTGTTAGAGGGTCATAAAGTCCTCCATGAAACCCAATCACCAACTGGATGTCAGGATTGGAGTCCGAGCAGACCTCGCCGTAGGCTGTATAATGAACCTGCTTGAGGAGGGTGCCATCACTGGCAAAGATAGCCAGTGGTGTTCCTATGTTATCACAGGCTATGTAGAACTCTGCTCCACTGCTGATCTCCATTGCAAACAAGTGTCCCTGCAGGTCATAGTATAGAGAGGTAATCTGTGAGCTGGAATGGTTGTAGACATGCGTTATCCTGCTTGGGTAGCTCAGGTCAGCATAGAAGAACTGCAGATGTTGTCCCATGCTGGACTTTGCTGAGACTCTTCTTCCCAAACCATCGTAACGGTACTGGACGGACCAGCTGCTGGATTTACTGTAGACATGTTCTAGGTGGCCATTGGAATTGTATTGGAAGATCTCAGAGCCTCTCTGGCGAAGAAACCCATCTTCGTCCAACTCGTACTGCAGATCTCCAAGACGAGTTATACGGTCTCGTAGGTCATAACGGAGGGGCATGATTCGTGCACTGTTTGCTGGACTCAGCAGGTGTATGTTCCCGTTTAAGTCATAGCTGTAGCGCCATGTCATTTTCTCATTGAGGTAGACGGTCTGCAACTGCCCGTCCACGTCATATTCATAACTGTACTTGGTAGCATTAGCAAACGAGCCAATCTTCATCTCCCGCTTGGTTACTCGGCCCATATCATCATACTGGATGGTGATCCAGAAGAGCAGAGCCCGGAAGAGCTCATACTGAATCTCTCGAACCCGACCGTGCCCATCAAAGTGCTTGGTGTAAGTCATGACAGAGGTAGAGATGATCTGGTTGATGTCATAATAGATGACGCCAAATTTGCCGAACTGCTCCACCTTCCCTGAGATGTCATCATACTGATAAAGGTCAATAGGCAGCGGGGTTTCATTGATGACCCCCTGAATACTCGTTACACGCAGACTACTGTCGTAAGCGTAGTCGAAGCGAGCGTTTACCATCCCGTCCTCGCTGAAGCGG